GTGCCCATTGCAATCTGCATTGATGGTGTAGACGGGTCATGGCCATTCCATGGAAGGGGCGGTAGGCTCGTATACCAGCCATATTTAGTCGTCAGCGGACTGTTCTTCTGCTTATGGCGTGTCCTAATGCTTTTGCTTCCATTTACATGGATCTGCACGAAGTAGCGGTCTTTGGCCCGTGTCGTTACTCTTGGTCTTCCTGATCTTGGGCGGTTCTTGTCAGCTGACGTTGTGAAGCCCCTGTATTGGCCATACCGATTACCCAGGCTCGATGCGCTTGCGTAAATCTTGGCAATTTTGTGGTGGTATTTGGTTACTGCATGCTTGCTCTGGCCAACATCGGTATGTATCCCACAATCATGAACGTGTATTTGGACCAGTGTCCCACAACTGTTTTTCACGTTTTGAAAAATGCACGATCCAAACGAAATTTTCCAATAGCTGCGTTGTTATCGGGACCATGTTGCGTTTTGGTGAAAGTTTTCTGCTTGGGTTCAAACCTGTACCAGCGTTAATGTTTTTTATACAATTACTTTGAAAGAGATAACTTTCTTTTGCCCGGATGTTTACTCGTCTCAAAGTTATTCCTCAAAATGATATCATTAAACTTAGACAAATGTTGCACAAAGATAAAACATGTAAGATCCGATGAACCAGTATTACTAATACAAATGTAATGTTACGATAGCAGGTAAACCATTATTTTATACTAAGTTGTTAAAGAAGGAGTAGAGTTCTTCAACAGCATTCTAAATGAAAATAGACACAAATATAAATTTACAGAATTTGAAGAAAAGTATGGAATATATACACGTTAACTTCGTCATGCTTTTATTCCTTTAACAGTGTTTGCCACAGGTCCATTGTACATTGGAAATTAGCACATAGAGAGAACATTCAACTAACATACAACATGCGTAATCGCATTGCTTCATCAGTGGATGCATCTTGTTCATGTTGTAGGAGGCAAAAACACAAACGAGCTCATCCGATAATGGCAGATATTCCAAAGATTAGGGTGCGGTGTTCAATGAAAGCATTTGTGACAACAGGTGTGGATTATGCAGGTCCGTTTTACACTGCACAGGTAAGAGTCAAGAAAAACTCTCTGCCTTCTCACACTCTGTCGACTGGAGCAGTACATTTAGAAATGGCACATAGACGAGGTATGCCAAAGGACGTAATCTCAGACACCGGAACTAAAAACCTTGGTGCTGCAAAGGAACTGAAACAGCTCGATACTGGTGTCACGTGAATACACCGGGAGATAGTTATGAGAATGGATGGTGGAAAACGTTAGATAGGGCTTTCGGGCATTGGAATAGGGTGCTGCTTTGAATTAGAATGTTGTAAGGTTTAGTGGCCCTGGTTAGTCAATTAGCTTTAGTTAGCCGACTTATTAAAAGATCTTCATATTATTCACATGGAATCACGTTAAGAAAATCACGTTTAGTTGCTTAAAAGTCATCCATAGATAATCTCATTTGTAAGTTATGTTTAGTTCCTTGTTCAGGTCAAAGGTATTTCAAACTTTTATTTGAGCAGTTTTCAGCTTAATTTAGACAAACTCACAAGTTAATTCCACTGCGCAACAGATGACATGAACATAATATACTCAAGTTATTTTTGTGCAAAACATTTACATCTCGATTGTTGAAGAACATTACAAACAAGAACAAAATGATATTCGACTTCAACCATATTGTGTACACACATTAAGCAAAATCCGTGATGGTTACTATTTTTATCGCCCAGTCTCATTTCGAAGCTGGTGGGGACAGCATCTCAGTCGAACAAGTGCAGTCCTATATTCGCACATTGATACTTTGTGCAGAAGCTTCCAGGCCAAAATGTACTTAGTCAAACTAGAAACTTCACAATCATATATTAAATAATATAAGAAAATAATAAGAATAAGAAATAATATAAGAAAGGACACAAAAATGTGGTATGGAGGTTATCATTTATTTGTTAAAGTCGATAAAATGAATTGAGAATAATCACAATTCCAAAAATCGGTTCAATGTGATTACAGAATTCATCAAAAAAAGGGCGTAAACAAAGTGTCAGGTCACAAGAAATTAAATCTGATGTTTCAAACGTTCAGTAGCATGTATGGCCACCAACTGTTGTTCACAACTGCCAAGCAACACAAGACTCATGGACTGTCTGATGTGTGTAAGCACATTATTGGGGAGTCGGTGCCATTGTTCCTTCAAAACAGCACCATGATCCTGCAAATTCTGGGGTTGGTTCCTGAGAGTGCGCAGACCTCTACCAAGAGCATCCCAGATGTCCCAGAGCTCGATTAGATTGAGATCAGGTGACACTGACTGCCAGTCAAGAACGTTGATTCCCGCACAGGTAATTCAAGTTGCTTGTATGGGGTCTGGCATTGTCATGTTGAAAGTGCAGACCTAGACCGTCTGCTGCCATGAATGGAGTAGGTTCGGGGGCTAGCACCTGGTCGCGGTAAACTGCATCATTAAGGTTCCCATGGATAACCAGCCCCTGATTTCTCGAAACAAACTTAAGTTTTACTCAAATTTCAAACTGAGTTTGTCAATTTGAAACAGCTGAATTTTTTATACAACTGCAATTTTAAAATGGAAAAGCCCAAACAACTTAAGTAATCCATCCACCAAACTCAAATTGTCTACTATGTTTGAGTTGAATATCGATTTCAGTTCATTCTGGGAAATGCATTTTCTCAAATTTGAGTAAAAACTCTAACTTAAGTCAAAATTAGACTTAAGTTTGTTTCGAGAAATCGGGGCCAGAAGTCGGGAACAGGCAATCCCACAGAAAGCACCCCAAACCATGACACTTCCGCCCCCAAAATCTTTCAACTTCCTGTACATAACACTGAGCATAACGTACATGGCGTTGCCTCCACACTCTCATCCTGCCATCAGTGAATCTGAGGGTAAATCTTGCTTCATCACTCAAGACAACTTGATTCCGATCTTTCCGAGTCCATTGGAGATGTAGTCGGGCCCACAGCAAACGCTGACGTAGATGCAATGGGGTCAAAATGGTTCCGCAATATGCTCGTCGAACACGAAGGTGAGCAGCTCGCAGCTGGTTTCGGATGGTTTGTGCCGACAGTCGACCCCTAAACAGCTCATTTCTGGTTCCTGTAGCCGTCAAGAAACGATTACAGAGGTGACATAACACAATTTTACGGTCCTCCGCCTGTGACGTCACACATGATCAACCTGGCCTAGGCTGATCAGCAGTGCTGCCAGTTTGTTGCAGTTGAGTCTGTAAATCCAACAGTCCGACGGCTGCACGGCCCATTGTCCTTGCAACGTCACTTACTGACGTTCCCGCTTCCTGCATACAAACGGCATTTTCACACTGCATATTTGAGAGGTGCGACATAAGAATTGGTTGTTCTTGTTAGTGCTCTAAAGTGCTTTTTCACTCTGAACAGTTGATGGGAACATGTGCGATCGAATGCACGTGCTATGATAAGATCACACGACCTGTGGCACGTGAAAAACACGTTTTAGCACTATTGATGGGTGCACGATGTTTGGATTGACTTCAATGTTCTGTGGTGACTTTTTTCTTGAGTTGATACTTGGGGATTAATATTATGATACCCGAAAACTGTCTACTATAACAACTAATACTTTTATTTACAAATATAAATTGTGAAGTTTTTATTTTGACTCCGTATATATCTTAACGATGAATATATACTATTCAAAAGAAGAAACTTGACATGCTGTTTTGAAGCTGTTACTGAATGCGTATGACTGATTCAAACATGACATCATTGCTCAGTTACAGTAAAATCATCACTTTACAAGTTGCCAAAACATGATTATCCGGAAAGCGTGTGGTAAAACCACAAAGAAGAAAGGAGATGCCGAATGCTGTCTTGAGGAATGTTTTGATACTCTTGCTGAAGTGCTGTGTGCAGTTCTTGTAGTGTCTGAGGTGGCAGATTACGCTGGCGCAAACGTCGATCAAGTGTATCCCATAGATGTTCAATGGGGAGACAAATCCGGTGATCGAGAAGGCCAAAGTAACAACTGAACATTGCTGGAGGAAGACCTGTCAAACACGTGCAACGTGAGGTCGAGCATTGTCATGCTCCAAAGATCAACCGTTGATGTTGATGTTGATGTAGGGAACGACGTGACGTTGAACCAGTCTTCTGGCGAAACGTCTGCCTTTCCATAGCCAATTGCGCACTGTCTGGTCGGAGATTTGGATTGTTGTGGATGATGTGGCTGTGGCGTTTGAACGAAAATGTCTCAACCGGATGTGGCGATCCTGGGCGGCGGTGGTAACTCCAGGTCGACCTGACTTGGGTCTGTCATTAACACCCCCAGTATTTTTGTATCGTGTCCATAGGTTTGAGATGGTCTGTCTGGACACGCTGAAGTGTCTTGTCACATCAGGCTGCGATGTCCGACCTTGTAAACGGCCGATGGCGTTGTGTCGTTGACTGACTGACTGACTGAGTTTGGTTTTACGCCGCTTTTAGCAATATTCCAGCAACATCATGGCGGGGGACACCAGAAATGGGCTTCATTGTGTCGTTGAGCTTCTGTCAGTCTTTTCATTCTCTTGTCATCTATAGTGGCTCAAAGCAATGCATGTGGGGTATCATTGATGTGGCTTTTTAAGGCCTAGTCATAGGCTTCAGCTCAGGGTGATACACAATTTCATGATGCTTGTGCATTTCATGTAGGGTGCGTTTTAGCAATTCACTACAGACGTGAGTGTAACGTTACGTTTTTGTTAAACGTATCTTTTTTCAAACGTTTTGTCGTCGGCAACCACATGCCCCCACATGCTGGGATTCAGCACGGATTGGTTTGTGTCAAATATTTTCCTAAAATTCAAATTTGTCCTATGTCAAGTTTCTTTTTGGGGGGGGAAGAGTATATAATTGATTTTGAACTTAATGATATGGCTGCATGCAAATACTTAATACACTGATATCTGTTATCGTTCACAAACATAATTATCCAAAGACAATGGAAAATAAGCTGTTTTATTTTTTAGATACCTAATTCATCTGTTCATTATGAGAGTCTAATAAATTATGACAAAACACGAATTTCCCTCCAACGCGACTTAATCTTCAGGGGGTGATTACAGTTACAGATTACACACACACACACACACGCACGCACGCACGCACGCACGCACGCACGCACGCACGCACGCACGCACGCACATATACATATAATTGATTTTGAACTTACTGATACATTACATGTATATCATTATTAGTCGTAATGACAAAAACAGATGGACTTGAATCCATGGAGTGAGTAAGTGTGATTAAAGTCACGTCGGCATTATTTCAGCCATATTGTGACTTGATCAAGTAATACGCTTTTTCAGAAAAAAAAAAAAATTCAAACTAAGCCATGTCAATAAAGTAAAGTAAAACAACTAGATGATCACAGAGAGAAATTTAAAACTAACATGTATACATACCATAAAACAAGTCATCATATTAAACAACACAATATAAAAACGGGCAATGGATCGACAGCAACTCACGATAGATCACCATACTTGGGACCATGGGGTCTTACAGTATTTTTGGTACCTGCAAAGTCCCTAGCTGATTTTACCCCATCCCTTCAGCTGTTGGCGATTGTACTCCAATTAGCCCCTTACAGGCGGTAATACCCAAGCATACATGAATGCACCTGTAAAGCACTTGCTTCGCACAATATCTCAAAGGCTATGCGTCACATGTTCACGTATGATGGCTGCCACTATGAGGGCACGTCGTCCGATCAGAAGGGGCAGGCACGGAGTAAACTGCCACTTGTGGACTGGCGTAGGGTTCATTGGTCTGATGAAAGCACCATTGTAGCTGAACCTTTCCCTTTGGTGGTACCTCAGTGATGTTGCGATGTTGCCTTTCGTATGACTGCTAGTTGGATCTCATTACACTCAGTGGTCAACGTTATCAACAGGAAATACTGGAAAATGAAATATTTTGATGAGCACCCCCTTGCCAGTAGTCCAGTATTCATGCATGACTGTGCTGGACTTCATTGTCCTCAGGCCGTCACTGCAAAATTCCAATTTGCCCAAAAGGAGCCCTGATGGGAACCTCATCTTTTTGACTATCTTATATGCTAACACTAGATCCTCCTGCTGAGAATACGATGCTTGACTGCCAGTATGGCATGACTGGCATATGATATCCATGCTAGGGGTTGCCACAACAATCATCATTTAAGAACTCTGGAACAATCAGATATTGGTGGTACAGTCATGGTGACCATACTTTGGCATTGTTGAGTTTACAAATTTCAATTTCGTTTTTGTTTATGAAATGTTTCAGTTAACATTTTGATACGTGGCATTTGATTTTCAAAGCATGTACAACATGTAGTGTTTTCGCACTTTTATAAAAAGAGGGTGGTGCTTGATTAGTGCTCATCTGTACAGATTACTCTTGAGAAAGTTCCAGAGAGTGGTATATCTGCTATCTGAAAAGATAAGTAGGAACGGGGACAGTATCTATAGTCAGACCATCATGATGAAGAACAAAAGAAAGGCCTAAACTTTAATCTTGACAGATCTGGTGATCATGTGGACCAGGAAAGCAGAAGTCAGCACCATTGCAAGTGAGCATGTCTGTAACTGGCATCAGTTGTGGACAAACTGCTGGATGTTGAGAATGGGAGATCAACAGAACACTTTCTACTTTGTATGGTTATTGGTCTTAGTGTGTTCATTTCTTATATACTACGATATAAGAAATCAGTAACATACTCCACAGCTTCCCAATCACACCCTGAGTGACGTTAAAATGTGCAGCCACCTGACATTGACTATTGTCAGTTTGGAGCATCTCCATAGCTCTGCCTTGATTCTCAACACATTGTTATGTGTGTTCCCTGTCATTTGCTACAGTTACGTGGGTTAAAAACCATGTGTCTATGCCCTGACTGGCATATGCTGGTACTGATGACTGGTTGGGGTGATTTGTTTAAGTCAGTGTTTACCAGCTCCTGCATTAAATACGATGGTTGTGATATTCTGGGTTTTTTTAAATACAGCCACAAATATTCCCTTTAATGTGTTCTTGAAATAAGTGTCTCTGTAAAAAGATTTTCTAAGTCAATACGGTGCAATCTTCACTAGTATATAAATGTTCATCATAATTTTTAACTTCTTGGATAATATCATCTTGTGTATTCAATAAAATTCAAGCTTTGATATGGATTTATTAAGAAAATTTCTGGATTCTAATTGTAAAAAGTATTTGGATGGTTTTTCCCCTTGTTCTATCCATTTGGCTTTTGATCTTTCGGATTTAGTTTTCTTAAATTATTCCATATGTAAGTCTTTTTCAATTTCATCATTAACTTCACCCAATTTAATTTCATAATCATTCAAATCTTCTTCTAGTTTGGCTTCTAGAGCCAGATTTTTCTTCTTACGCGTTGATGGAAAATAAATTGTACTTCCCCTTATGTTCCAACAGTAACATTTCCCATAGTAGTTGATCATTTAGGATTAAACTATTATCTTCTTTGTTTGTATTATCTTTATATTGTTCTAAGGTATCACTTATAGTTTTCCTTACAAGATCTGCATACTCTTTGTCTTTCAAAAAGTGAATTGTTGAATTTCCAGTGTACTTGTTTTCTCTTCAAAATACCATTTAGGCCTCTACAATTTAGAGTAATTTTGATGTTAATAGTTGTGCCAGGCATGCTCTTGGAACATCTAAATTATATAGTTGTTGGTGTATTTTAAACTTGCCCTCCATCATAGCCGAATTTGTAACAATCTTAAATGTAAAACATCATAGTGGCCTCTGGAACATCGTAAAAAAACACATTATTGTTACTTATGTTGTTCAGAATCAGTCAGAATCTTTAAAGTGATTTTAAAACATCAACATTCCATGATTATTTCATCTAAATCGTATACAACAGATATTTCAGATACTTTGTGATTGCTGTAAAAGTTTTTGCCAAAGTATTTGAAAATTTGTCTGAAATGGTGCAATGACATAATAATGAAAACTAAAAAGCTCATTTATCAAACATTTGAAGGAATATTTTGGCTGGATATCAATTGATAGCTGGTTTCAGAAATGACAACTTTAGTAGATCAAAACTCTCTATTTTGTTAGGAGCAGCATCCAAATGATGTCATGGAAAATTGTTTTGTCAGATTCATACAAATATGCACTTTTGTTTATAATGTAAGCTTTTGAGAATTGTAATTAAGCACAAATGATTAGGAAATGTCTTCTCCTTCAAATAACCACATTTCATACATACTAGCAAATCTAATATTGCCCAAAGAATTAAGAATTAATGTTAGATGATGAATTTTGAAACCAGTAACTCAACCTCAGCTAGGATTCCGAACCTGCCAGGTTGCACTCTGGACTGAGGCTGTTATTACCTCTTTAATTGGATCAAAGGGTCTTTTCATAGTAAAGTCAGAAGTCAGAGTGTAGCTATGGAAACACAAACAACCCCACAGCATCAGCTCGGCCTAAGATCCTCTATTTTTCAAAGTCTACAAGTGAGCATACTACTGACCATTCCTGCAGATTAAAGATGGCAATGTTGCCCAAGTCAGGGTATCAACCATCAGGCACAGTATTGGAAATAATTATGTACAGATTCCCCCATAGATAATTGAAATTGCAAAATATGCGCATCATATTTAGCATTGTATAAGTCCTGTTGATTATAATATTTTTTTAGTACCATGGAAATGAAACTCACCTTTATCAGTGGTCTAACATTAAAGTGTGAGGAAATGAAAATCATGGTGTAGAAAAGCATAAAACCCAATATACTGGCATGACTCCAAAAAACCTTACAACTTGCCAGTCATCCTGTCTCTTAAAGATATCTGAAACTATCTGTAGGCCAATCTTGTGTGTGGTAGTTAAGCTCTTTTGAGTGGGACATAGTACAGTGTCAAACAGATTGACAAATGCCTCCTTTTCTCAATCAACAGCACTAATTGATTGTTTTGCTAAATACATGTATACAGGAAAAGGTGCAATATGTGATCCCAAAAACTACAGAGGTATCACCCTAGCCTCCTGTATAGGGTAACTATTTGAAAAACTATTACTGTCACGTCTACATTTTATATAAGCCATATTAATCCTTACTTTCCAGACCCTCTACAGTTTGGATTTAGAAAAGAACATGGTGCAATTATGTCGACGCTTAAGCTCAATGATTGTGTAACATATTATGTTGAGCGTGGCTCTCAAGTCTTCTCAGCTTTTCTCGATAATGAGAAAGCTTTTGATTGAATTTGGCATGGCAGTCTATTCTTAAAACTCCACAATTTGGGTATAACGGATAAAATGTGGAATCTGCTATATCACAGCTACACCTGCAGCTCTTCTTTTGTAATGTACAATGGAAATAGCTCAGACACATTTGAAGTAAAACAACGTGTAAGGCAAGGTAGAGTCTTGTCTACATGGTTCTTCCTTGTCTTCATAAATGATTTACTAACTGAATTAAGACTTAGTAACAATGGTATATGTGTATATGGTATTGATGTACCATCAGTCCTGTTAGCCGATGATACGACACTGTTAAGTACCCCTCCGATGGGCTTCAGAATTCACTTCATATTGTTTCAGAATATGCTTCCAGATGGCGCCTAACATACAATGCATTGAAAAGCACTATTGTAGTTTTTCGGAAAGGGAAACAATCTTGTCCTGAGCTCTCATTCTCCTTTTGCGACACCTCTATTAATATAAGTCCACTAGTAAAACATGGTGATATTCTACATTCATCAGATATGTCTTGTAAAGATAGAGTTTTCGCTAACTGTCAAAAGGCCAGGCAAACTATAAACTCTCTTTACGCTCATTAGGTCTTAACAGTACTGACTTACATCCAGTTACATGTGTTAATATATGGAAAAGAATGGTTTTACCTACAAGTTTCTATGGTTGTGAAACCATGCCTACGCTATATGGCAAAAACATTGATTTGGTGGAAAATATCCAACGATATTTCGCTAAATGTATTCAAGGGTTCAACAGACGTATGCCAACAGATTCTGTAAGTGCCAACCTAGGTCTCTGGACAATGGTTGGGTACATTGACAAGTGTAGATTATTATTCCTTGGAAGATTATGTAATAACGCTTGTAATTCATCAACGAAAACGCTATTCTGTGCATTCTTATCACTCACTGTTCATTTAAATATTAACTCACGCAGTATTTGCAACACTCTGTTATGTACGGCACGGAAGTATAATCTACTGGACTATGTATTAACTTATGTGCAAACTGGTATTTTTCCATCAAAGACAGTTTGGCGCAGAATAGTTGTAAGTTCTATCCTCTCTTATGAAGAAGCTTAATGGAAATTGAGACTCTCCATAAGAGAGGATATGTGCAGATATGCTGTAATCCATCAAACACTGAGTCTACATAGACTTTACACTCTAATGTATATGTACCTAGAATATAAAGACCATATACAACTTGCTGTACTAGTCGGTTCTAAAGCCAAATTCTCAATGAATGTATGCTTTGTAATAAGTACTGCTATGACCACAATGCCCACATCATTTTACATTGTGAATCTGCAATGAGCCAAAGAAATAATTTTTATATGACACTACTTGACCTACTGGACGTTATATGTATTATTTGAAATGCTTGATGATGAAGATGCCCTTGTACTGTTTTGTGGTGCAAAACTTCACATCCCTGGCCTTCATGAAACAGCATGGCAAACCATCATACTACATTTTTCGAACTATATCTATTCTTTAAAAGATTCCTTGATGGATACTTTCTGAACTATCATTGTTGTAAATAACCGTGCTTTGTACATATCATATGTAGATATATGTAACTGACTGATGTTTGTTTATGTAATCTTCGAATATCTTTTTGGAGGAAATAAAGACATTCATTCATTCATTCATTCATTCAAATACAACATAACAGGAAATGTATGCATTGATTGCACCTGTCCAATAAACTACCATCTTAAACACGGAGGTACCACTAACTTTAGTTCGGTTTAATTATAGCTAGTTGTATGCATTTTTAATAAAACATACAGCAAGTGGTCTGGACCAAAAAACAACAACAGTTTGTTACATAACTGTCAGTTTGTTATAAGAGTGTTTGTTATAAACATAGCTTACTGTATATGATTCCAGGTATGAACGACTTTGGGCAGATATTTCTTATGAAGCAACAGCACAAACAAATGGTCATGAATGCTACAACTGGGTTTGCAGAAATTTCCAAGCATGACTTCTTAAGTTAGTACCCCAGTAACCCCTGCTCTTTGCAAATTTCAATGCATAATATGTACAAAACAAGAAGTAAGTGTTTATGCATATGTATGTACTCTTTAGAACACAAAATCATGCAACACAACATTCATCCCTGATGGTGTCTTGGATACACAGCAATCAGTTGTTCACATTTGACATTTCTTGTGTCTGAAGTAATTCTTCAAATAAAGATTCCAAATCCAGGTGTGATCTCATGAGTGAATTACACGTCATGTAATACAATCCTGGAGAGGAATGATCATATGCACTCAATCAAAAGATTAACTGGTAAACACTTGATTGATCAATCACAGTTATCGTGCACAGTGGATTAGCAAAAGTGTCTATGTATGTAGGCTTACTAAATCAGACAGAGCACACCCATAATTATTCAACTATATTTCACCAAATAATGCTGTTGGATTTTGGCAGGGGGCAATACCTAGAATTTATTACTAAATCTAAAGCTGCTGATGTAAAGACTGCAGCTTTAGTTTCAGTGCTTAAGGATGGGTGGATGGATGACAGAACTAAAATGACAAAATATTTTTCATAAGTGATGTTGAGGTAAATTATTTAACAGAAATAATGTAATTAAAAGCCCTGACAGATAGTTGATCTTGCATTTGTAGAGACAGCAATGAACAAGAAAACATCAGCAGCTACAGCGACCAGACACTGTGGACTTCTGAGAGTCAGGATTCAAACGTATTCCATCACCCCGTCTTGCAGTGAAAGATTCTGATAATCCATCTATTTCTGCATGTTTGTTGACCATTTCTTCTATTAAAAACCTGAAGAAGAAAACAATTATTATTTCTAATCTCCTAATTGCATAAAACAAATCTGAATTAATGAACTCACTAATTTTCATTTCACAGAGTAACACATGACTTTTTCGTTTTACATACTGCACTTTTCATTAGATACCATTTTATGAAACTCATCAGTGTTAAAACAGTAGCTAACAAGAGCAAATACTGACTTTTGAATATTCTTAGCATTTTTATCATTTCTTTATTTCAAATTGGGGAATTCGTACTTCCATTTGCTGCAGACATGGGCCCAAATACTGGCGTCTGAGCAGGCTGGTCTCAAGATATTATTACTGATAATGTTTGGCCCCACTATTAACAACGCATGTTACAAATTTTATAACAAGAAGTGGCTCTGTTTCAAATTAATCCAATCAAACAACAGCTGATCTAATTATCATATTCTAGTATGCACAAATTTAGATACAGACATGTTGGTGGCACCCCATTAGTCATACGGCCCATTTGTTATATGCCTCAAATAAACATGACATGGGTGTTTTATAACAAGTATATATATATAATGCAACACATTTCTTCAGTACTTCTGATTTTACATCAGGGAAAATACTGATATCCAGCAGCATCCAGGAACTCCAGAGACATTTTCTGGATGGCTTGATGTTGGTCCCAGAGTCTGACGAGTCTGTTCTCCTTTTCATGATACACCTGTTTCCTGGGTGATGGGGAACTTGTCAACAATGTAATTGTTGAAGTGGTCGGCATTGATGGCTGGAGGAGAGTCACCCATGCTGTCGACCCAGGCATCCGGTTCCTCAGCTGAAGGGAGAAGGGCTAGTGCTGATGCCCTTCTTATCCATGAACCGACAGCCGGGTCTTCCCATACTGGACCGCTAGCTCCAGGTCTTGTACCTTCCTCCAGATCACCCGAGTGAAGTGGAAATAGCAGCCTCGGACTCGTAAACACCAGAAACGTCTGGCCACTCGTTGTCTGTGTCCACCTTCCCTCCCACTCTACTTCTCCTCTCGTCTGTGGTAGGGCCGGTATCGTATGTCGACAATGTCGGTACATGGTGCTAGGCACACTTGGGTACGACGGTAGAAGGGGCACAAGGGACACAAGCTGGGGATCCTGTGTTGCTAGTTCGTCCTGGTACAGGGTTGGTATTGGAGTACTCTCCTCTCTAGCTCACTTCCTAATGTTACCGATGAACTTCACTGCGCCATGATCCATAGGGCCGTGGTTGTGTGCAGTGGTGTTGCGGATATATTTGCCAGCAGTTGTCACTCTGTCTCAGCATCCCTTCAAGCCAATAAATAAAGTGTTCCTTTGTTGAGTTTTTGTTGTGAAGATAACCTTGAATCAAAACCTGTCATGTGCCTCACCTTGATGTCACATACTTTCCTTCGGGTAAACCTGACATAATGACGAATAAGTGACGATTCTCCCATCTTAGGTCAATACATATGTAGTTATTCTCAAACAATCTACAACATGAGTAAACTCAAAGTTTAAGTAAATAGAGTACATGTATTTCCTTAAATCTGCATAATTGTTTAATTCAAATCGTAAATGGAATTATATTCCTACCATGCTTTTCTAACAACATAGTCAAAAGTATGGGTGTGCAGAGTAGACGTATGGACTAATGTTTGACTATCAGTTAGATCTCACACAAGAAAAGTCTCTTGTATTGTATGGGAGGTGTCGTCTCAGGACACCGACCTTTCGATTTTCCACTAGTCTCAGGACCCCGACCTGCGGTTTCCTTTGAAGGTAAGGTTCTGATTAGGCGTAATTAGGGTTGCAGATAAGCTACTCTAGATGTTTTGATAAGGTGAACTCGTCACACTAGGTGAACATATCGCAGTGGAACGCAATGGAAACACCACAACTCAGATGGACCAAGAACCAACAACCATCTGGAAGGGTGGTATTCACGTCTGAAGACCAAACCAAACATCTTCGAGATCGCGCCAGTCTTGTCACGAGAACAGACCAACATGGAAAACAAGCTGGTCCAGTACGCTGCTGGCCAGAAGCGTCCGTACAAGAAGAAGAAATACAGGCACTTAGAGCGACGACTGGATGACATCAGTCCCCAGCTCGGACAATAAACACCGTGAGACAGTTTGCTGATTCAGCATTCCACCTGTTGTGAATCATTGTAAAAAAACGTTAAAATCTGTCAACTGAGTTTGTCGATGAGTGCTTCAAGAATGGAAATAAACTGATAGAAATATAAAGTGTTGTTGTCTCATTAGGTGTCGTCTCATCCGCATAATCCAGATTATCCTCTTCTAACAACTGGTTGATTCTTCATTGTCCTCGTAATCCTTCAATAATTGGAACAAGAGTCATCAGAAGATGACATATCCCCCCGGCCCCCACATCTTTGAAAGAACAAATCATCTGACAGTTACTTAAAGTCCAGCTTGATTTTAGACTAAGTGCAAATCGTTTCCATGGAAATCATGAAAAAAATAAATGACAAAAATCTGCAAATAGCAAAAGGCACCACTTTGGGATCTGCCTCACATATCTGCCAAGTTTTGCTGAAAGATATTAAGAAGTTTTCGCGTTGTGCTCCGGAAACAAAACCCATCCCTTCCTTTTGAGACTAAGTTCAATCATTTCCATGGAAACCGAGAAAATAATAAATCACAAATATCTGCAAATAGCAAAAGGCATCACTTCAATATCTGCCTCACATATCTGCCAAGTTTTGCTAAAAGATATAGAGAGGTTTTTGAGTTGTGCTCCGGAAACGAAGCCCACCCCTCACTTTTGGGATTAAGTCCGAATCGTTTCCATGGAAACCGGAAAAATAAAAATGCCAAAAATCTGCAAATAGCAAAAGGCACAACTTTAGGATCTGTTTGATATATCTATCAAGTTTTGTTGAAAAATATTATACGGTTTTTGAGTTGTGCTCCGGAAACGAAAGCAATCCTTACTTTTTGAGACTAAGTCCAAAATGTTTCCATGGAAACCGGGAAAAATACAAATGCCAAATCTGCAAATAGCAAAAGGCACCACTTAAGGTTCTGTTTGATATATCTACCAGGTCTTGTTGAAAAATATTGAACGGTTCTTGAGTTATGCTCGAAACGGAAGCCCACCCCCTCACTTTTTGGGACTAAGTCCGAATCGTTTCCATGGAAACCGGGAAAAATACAAATGCCAAAAATCTGCAAATAGCAAAAGGCACCACTTAAGGTTCTGTTTGATATATCTACCAGGTCTTGTTGAAAAATATTGAACGGTTCTTGAGTTATGCTCTGGAAACGAAGCCCACCCCTCACTTTTGGGACTAAGTCCGAATCGTTTCCATGGAAACCGGGAAAAATACAAATGCCAAAAATCTGCAAATAGCAAAAGGCACAACTTTAGGATCTGTTAGATATATCTACCAAGTTTTGTTGAAAAATATTGAACGGTTCTTGAGTTATGCTCCGGAAACGAAGCCCACCCCTCACTTTTGGGACTAAGTCCGAATCGTTTCCATGGAAACCGGGAAAAATAAAAATGCCAAAAATCTGTGAAATGCAAAAGGCACCACTTTAGGATCTGTTTGATATATCTACCAAGTTTTGTTGAAAAATATTGAACGGTTCTTGAGTTATGCTCCGGAAACGAAGCCCACCCTTCTTTAAGACTAAGTCCAAAACGTTTCCATGGAAACCGAGAAAAATAAAAATGACAATTATCTGTATATAGCAAAAGGCACCACCTTAGGTTATTTTTGACATATCTACCAATTTTGGTTAAAAAATATCGAACAGTCTTTGATTTATGGTCCGGAAACAAAATGATTACGGACGGACGGACGGACAGACGGACGAGGCGACGACTATATCCCACCGCATTATATGCCGGTGGGATAAAAATGAAACTAGTCTCAGGACGTCGATATTTTTTTCCAGTCAACTGTGAAGTTTGGTCGAAAGGTCGGCGTTATGAGCCTGAACCGTATGGAGCATGACCATTGTTGTTTTAATTAATCTGGTCTGTTCCGTATGACTAGTGGCCGTATGACTAATGGGCTACACCCGACATGCTACACCTGTATACCTTACATGATCCATTTGCCCGAGACATAGCTATTTAAATTCAGTTTTAAATACAACTGACGGAATTAAAATGAATAAATAGAATAATAATTTTGCCTTGTGTCCTTTTATACTTTCATTCAAAATTCAACTTCTAATTGGAAAACCACTGCCAAATTACCATATTTTCTCTTGCAAAAATACTTGAACTGCCTTGACGGTGCTGTGCACTGTACAATGAGAGGGAACTAAGGGGTTTATTTCATTATGTTTCCACTAAAATGGCTGAGCAATGGTCATGAATAAGTGTTTCAATCAAGCTGCTGTGGTGGCATATCAAAAATCAAATTATACATTCATGAAAACTTCACTGTTTACTATCCACAATTAGTTGAAACACTAACAGTTGCTCTTGTGCACTTCACTTCTCTTCAACAGTAGCTGTCTAGATGAAGAATATTAAGAAGGTAGGTGGAATTACTCCTGATATAACAGAGGTGGTAGTTTGAAATAACATAAACAAAACTTATGGTTTGATCATCTTGTGAATACAAAACCTTTCACCAGAGCCAGGAGATTCCTAAGGAGTCTTGGGGTTCCAACATGTAGTAATACCTTGGACAGTTAACTGACTGCTGAAGTTAAAAGGAACATAAACTCAAACTTCATGATTTCCATCCAAATTTTGCTTCTTCCTACAAATTCAGTGTTACTGTCAAATACAGGATTATGGCACCAAGGTGTAATGGAGGAATGGCATTCACAAGATTGAGCTTGAACATGGCTTACCTCATACATTCGTCTATCATGAGGCCCTCTTTAACTGAAGTCTCTGTCCACCCCACAAACTCATGCTCCCGACACATCTCCTCTATTTCTTCCTGTTCTACTTCTCTGTGGCTAAGGTCACACTGAAACAGGAAACAACATAGGATCATCTATACTTGATCTTTTACATTCCTAATCTTTTATTGGTTAGATCCAGTAATGATAAATAAATGAAACACTTTAAATAATACAACAGTTGACCTGCAAGGCTGAGTAGCTGAACCTGAATTTGAAACTTCAAAGATGAAAAGAGTCCAATGACCACATATTCCAGAACATCCTCAAATCTTCATAATACTTACGAAAAATGTCAACAAACAGGAACAATTACATTTACTGTTACTAATTGTTAGTAAACTCACCTCTGGATTATGGTTGCTTTAATTCTGTGGATTCCACAGACACATACAGAATGAAGTGAAAATTTTAACACTAAGTCTTAGCTATCTCTAGTGGTATGCCCTCCCAACTGCCAGAGTTATCTCCAGCTGACCTAGACGTCACTGTATAGTTGTTTGAAAAACCTCACAAATTTTCTTGTAAAACAGTTAAAAAACTTTTATCTTCTAAAGGAAAGGTGGGGAGGAAGGTGGGGAGGAAGGGCGAGACATATACTGTAAACCGGAAATATTCTGCTCCTTGAAAATTTTGCGTCAGCGTACCCCGAGCCTGTTCTGCGACGTATTATGTTTGCGTAAGTATTTTGAAGATTTGAGGATGTTCTGGAATATGTAATCATTGGACTCTTTTCATCTTTGAAGTTTCAAATTCAGGTTCAGCTACTCAGCCTTGCAGGTCAACTGTTGTATTATTTAAAGTGTTTCATTAGTGTGACTTAGTGTTAAAATTTTCACTTCATTCTGTATGTGTCTGTGGAAACCACAGAATTAAGGCAACCATAATCCAGAGGGAATGTTTACTCCTTAATTATACCCATTTAACAAAATCTCATGTCAGCATTGATATTCAAATATTTTCAGCATAAATACTAAGGACTAAAAACTAACATTTAGTCATCCGAACAACTAATGATTACATGGTAAGGAGAAACATATTGGTCAAAGTTTGGCTCCCTCATGGCATCATCACAAGTAGGAACAATCAAGAAAAGATTAAGTTTGAGAGGTGATGATCTTTACAATATCAGAAGATGCACTTTGAGAAAATTTCAGAGCATGGTCAAACTGAAAAGGTGAAAAATCTATTTACAAAAATTCTTAAGGCCACACCAATTTTATTTCTTGTTTTACGGATTTTTGTCCTCAGAAAACCTAAAGGCAGGAGGGAAAAAAATAAAAATAAAATCACAAGTCAAAGTAATATTCCTTCTAAATACTCATAGTATGTTACTTTAGGCAATTTATGAAGTGTATATGGGGCAAAAACTATCTAAAAACAACATTTTTTGTATGTTTACATTTTTGGCCAATGAAAACATTAGGATTTTATTTTTTGAGTGGGGAAAATTAATTTATTTTTTTCTTCTTATTCTTGAAAAAATATGTTACATAATGTAAAACCTATTTTAAAATTCTATTATCAGTACCAGGAAACAAAGATTTTCTCAATAATTTCTGGGAAAACTGTATTTGCTGCACCTACTTAACACAAAAATATGTTTACAAAATTATGGCTTGTGTGCTTTCCTTAACAAGTTCTTTGCTACAGGGGGCGGTGGGGTAACCTAATGGTTAAAGTGTTGGCTCGTCACCCCGAAGACCCGGGTTCGAATCCCCACATGGGCACAATCTGTGAAGCCCATTTCTGGTGTCCCCCGCCGTGATGTTGCTGGAATATTGCTGAAAGCGCCGTAAAACCAAACTCAGTCAGTCAGTCTTTGCTACAGATTCATGTCAAATCTTTCTGGCCATTAAGATAGCAAACATGACAACTAGTTCCATGATGTAATATGTCATATTTGGGATTACACTTTATCAGTAAAGTACAGGGAATACTTATCCTATCGCACGTCTTGTACTCTCTCTCGTATGATTGACAATCGAGTGAAAACGAACTGTAAACAAAGTTTTGGGGCTCTCTTGAACCCTTTGCCAAAGACACTCCAACTGCACCCATTCCTGGACACCCTGGAAGCCTCTGAAAAGCATGCAACCTGTGCTCTGATAGGTCATGTGTCCCCTTTGTGTAGTCATGCTCATCTTGGAGCAATAATTGTAATCTGTGTATCGGGGTTGGTAGTGCGAGAATCTATCATGTGAGGTAGGATAAGTATTATGAATATACAATTTATAGTTAAATTTTTCAAATTTTTAAACAAATCCTATCTCACATCCTGTACTTATCCCACGGTTGGATGGTGGGCCCCAGATTACCCTGTGTATAACAACCGTGGTGATGATGATGCACAAGGAGGCATGTTATGAGTGCAATCTCCTTACAATCTCCCTACATAACTCCTATACTTGCAATGCTTCTTCCAAAACCACTTGACTTACTCAGCACAAAACCTCCCAGGGAGTGGGCACTCCCAAGTAAATGTACTTTTCCGCTGTACATTTGTCGGAGACAAATGCGGAGCTAATCAGGTTTCCCAACGTCACCCCGGTTTCCAGAAAGCCCCAGTAAATTAAAGTCTTGCGACTATAATCTGGCCAGTGCCTGCTTCGAAACTATCCCAACAGTCAGACATAAAGATGAAATGGAAAACATCTCAGTCAGCTCCACTGTTTAATGGCCCCCCTCCTTTGCTTAAGCTTTTTGACACAAACCTGGGTAACTGGTTGTTGAACCTGGTTGCAAACAGGTCTATCTGGGTATTGGTGATCGGGAGACAGACTGATTTGAAGATCTGTGGGTGTATCTTCCATTTGGTCGGGGACTGCAAATCTGATTGACACTGAGTGTCGGTGATGACGTTCCTTACTCCCTGTATGTGACTGGCTCTTGATGGGATTTCCAGGGAGTCTATCAGTTGGAAGAACTGGATCGTCCAACCAAGGAGGTGCGACGATCCTGTTAAACCCAGATGATTGATGAACCACACCACCGTTGAATGTGTTCACTTCTGCGTCAGTGCTAGAGGTACAATGTGTTGAATCTTGGCCCATCTGTCAAACATTTTCCCCAGACAAGTGTCAAATACGGCCCCGATGAACTGCAATCGTTGAGTTGGGATCAGTTCTGACTTCTTGATGTTGATGATCCACCCAAGCTGGTGACGTAGCTTGGTGGTGAACTGCAGATGTTGTAAGAGGATTTGTCGATACTTCTGAGCTTATATACAATCGTTAATGTAAGCATTGAAAACAATGCTTCGGCAATGCAGAAACTGAGTGATGGGTTTCGTAATGTGGGAAAATAGCCACAGGACTGTATAAATGCCAAACGGGAGGACTTTCCATTGGTAGTGGATTCCCTGTAAGATGAACCTCAGATACTTGCAATGGTCAAGAAAAGTCAGAACATGCAGGTAGGCATCTTGAAGGTCGAAACTGATCATTCGAAACTGATCATTCGAAACAGAGATTATTCTGAAGTGTGGAGGTGGTTGAAGATGGGTAGCATCGACGAATGGAAGCCAGGGGTGTCGGGCGAAGGTCCAAGAGACTCGATTGCTAGCTTCTTTAGTAACGTACCTAGGGTAGTTTGTAGAGCTGATATCTGCATCGAAAGGTAGGTTCGCTGAACTGGATCACTCGACAGCGGTGGCGATCATATGATCGGTAGTTTGTAGCCCAGACTGAGTGTAGATATGACACACCAAACTGAGTGTAGATACATTGAAGGGGTCTCCCAAAAAAGTCCAGTTACGAGTATATGTACCAATTCTTCTGCCAACTGGTGAATCGAAGATTGGGACGACTGGAGGTGGAAAGTCCCAGTTGTCCTTTGCTTAAGCTTAGTCAAGGATGTGAACAGCAACTTAGGAGTCGCATCGAAATCCATTGAAATTTGGTATTCACACTTCAATCACGTAATTGCTTGAAGAATAGAGGACAGTAAGCATGAGTGACGATTGCCAAAAACTGTTAATCGGGAATGACGATGTTAAAACTTAAATATATTGTTTTGAAAAATAGTTGGGCCAGAAAATGTACTCGTCTAAGACGAGCAAATTATGTTTTTCACTTGCCTGAAGCAAATTTTATTCGTCATGCAGACGAGTGGAATTTTCGAGCCCTGCTGGTCACAAACAGATCCACCTGAGGGTTGGTGATCAGGAGACAGATTGATTTGAAGATCTGTGCGAGTATCTTCCACTCTGTTGGGGACAGACGATCTGACCTTGATAGAGTGTCGGCAATGGCATTCTTCAACCCTGGTATGTGCCTTGCTCTGGCTGAGATACCCAGTGAATCTATCAGTTAGAACAACTGGATCACCCAGTCGAGGAAGTGCGACAAACCCGTTGAGCCCAGACGATTGATGTCAGACTATATGAGAAGACGGGTCAATTGAAACTCCCGTGCCTAATGGTCTATGACTAGAATGACTGCCTTGAACTCCAGTTTGTTTATGTGCAGAGACTGCCTGTCTGGCGAGCACCGCCCTGCCACTTGATATTTGTGGAGATGAGCTCCCCATCCTTGAACGGCATCAAACAAACTCCTTCACAAACATTCAATTCATTGAGTCACCAACGAAGGTACGGATGGCACGATGAAGGTAGACGGATTGGGGTCATTGATCTGCAGAAACAGTCTTAGAAATCTCGGGATGGGTTGAATCTGAAGTTGATCTCTGGTCATCAGGGCTTGGGCTGAAGTCAGCAATCCAAGCAGTTCCTGCCACTGTTGTAGAGACCGGTCTTGAGACAGCGCGCCACAGCTACGAGGCATTGAATCATGACCCATCTGTCCTTGGTAACAACCATCTTCCCTAGACGTAGGTTGAATAAGGCCCTGATGAACTGAAGCCATTGGGTGGGAATCAGTTCTGACATGTTGATGTTGATGATCCAACCCAGCTGGTGAAGCAATTTGGTAGCAACTGTATATGTTGAAGCAGGACTTGTCAATCTGGCTGGGCTTGAATGCAAACGTCAATGTAAGCCTTGAACACAATCCCTCGGCAATGTAGAAACAGAGTGATCGGCTTCGTGAGATGGGTAAATGGGGACCTT